AAAAAAAAAAAAAAAAACTAGCTGGGCATGGTTGGGAGAACCTGTAGTCCCAGCTAGTTGGGAGGCTGAAGCAGGAGGATCCCTTGAGCCCAGGAGTCTAAGGTTGTTGTGAGCTGCAATGTCACAGCACTCTACCAAGGGCAACAAAGTGGGATCTTGTATCAAAAAAAAAAAGAATGGGGCGGTGCCTGTGGCTCAGTGAGTAGGGTGCCAACACCATATACCAAGGGTGGCGGGTTCAAACCCAGCCCCAGCCAAAATGCAACAAAAAAATAGCTAGGTGTTATGGCAGGCGCCTGTAGTCCCAGCTACTTGGGAGGCTGAGGCAAGAGAATCGCCTAGACCCATGAGTTGGAGGTTGCTGTGAGCTGTGACACCACAGCACTATACCAAGGACAATAAAGTGAGACTGTTTCTAAAAAAAAAAAAAAAAAATGGGCGGCACCTGTGGCTCAAGGAGTAGGGCGCCGGCCCCATATGCCAGAGGTAACAGGTTCAAACCTGGCCCTGGCCCAAAAAAAAGCTGGGGGGGAAAAAAAGAATAAAGGTGCTCACTTCAGTAGCACGTGTACTAAAATTGGAATGATACATAGAAAGTTAACATGACACACACCCCACACCCCCATACCTCCACCCTCCCCACTCAAGGATGACTTGCAGTTTGTGAAAAGTTCAATTTGCAATGCAGTGCCTCTGCAAATAGGACATTGTATCCATTTTACTTCAGCCCCCTTCACTACTGGTCTTGTAACTTATAATGCTGCTCTCTGGCAGACATGAATGGCCAATCTGTAGTCCAGACGCTTCTGAGGTTGGGTTATATCCGGAATCTGCAAGCTAGCTGCTTAATTTTTCACTCTCCTTTTTTAGTCTAAGTTCAGGTCCACTTATGAGGTCTTAAGTGACGCCCTCCTCCTAAGTAACCAGTCACAGTTCTCACAATTTGTATCAGGTTATGATTGCCAACTTTACAGTTTTATTTTTTCTTTTTAGAGACAGTCTCACTTTTCGCTCTTGGTAGAGTGCTGTTGCATCACAGCTCACAGCAACCTCCAGCTCTTGGGCTTAGGTGATTCTCTTGCCTCAGCCTCCCAAGTAGCTGGGACTACAGGT